GTAGCGCTAACGCACGCCAAGCGTACTGTAGTCGCGAGCCAACTAGGACTTTGCCAAGCCTTCCATTACAATATATGGGGCAACGACTGTCCCCCACGCCTCCAAGTTCCGCTTCATCTTGGAGATCTGCTGTTGAGTCGTACCAGTACGGCCTACTATATCTTTAACTGTATCACCGCGGTCGAGATAGTACTCGATATCGAAACGTATCTGAGAGCCTAGTAGGGGTGGTGTTTTAGCGGCGGCGAGGGTGTTAGGTGGCGACAGCGAGGGCAAGAGCTCCGCTTATGGGGGCAAAAGCAACACTATGCCAAGAGCTTCAATTTTGCCCGTTTGGGAACGATTCTGACTACTGGTGGTGGAGATCTAGTAAAAAGCCGACTTTGTTCGGATTTTGGTGTGTGCGCGCGCCAATCGATAATCAAAACCGCGCTACAACAGGTTTTTCGGATCTACGATAACGATAAGGAAAGGCGAAAGATGGTAATGGGAGTAAACGTAGCAGGTAAATACCACGGCCTCTCGATCCTGTTACAGCCTTCTCGAGTGATCCTAGCATATGCTTCACCTTAGGATTCCGAAAAATTGGAGGCCACAGCCCAATCATCCTGTTGCTGATCGAATTTTCGGTAGATGATCCATCAATAGTCGCCAGAGCTACGCCCGGCTGTCATTGCAGTGCCGCCTGCTGCCTACGCCTGGCCGGCGTGAGTTACAATCGATTCTCGCCATTCATTCATGACCCAGCAAGCCTGCTCTAACTCAAATAAGTTAACTTAATATCTGATCCTGCTTCGCACCACAATCTCCCTCAGACGTATATAAAGAAGCCCCACATCCTTACACATGAACTCATCGTGTCTGGTGCCCCATCGCCTGATCCAACGGGACATCATATAATTCGCGTCACGTCGGAACGGTTACACCGCGCATCAAATCTCAGTCTTCCTGGTGTTGGTTTACCCTTTACTACGTCCGTCGCCGCGAAAACGAGATTGCTTCTACGTCGGTCGATATTACGCGCCTTAATGAAATATATAGCAGAATTCTATACTCTATAGCTAGCAATCAACCTACCGTCAGAAGATCGTAGGCTCCTCCTCTCCTAATCTGTATATCTCACTTGATGGCATTTATAGCTAACTCGTATTCAGCTCTCGACCCTTACACTTATACAAGCGGCCGATGGCTCTGTCGTAACAAGCTAGAGCGCGATACGCGCTATATCAAATTTGACTTTGACGAGCTCCGCAAAAGGGTTATCGAGCTGTGCTATAGCGTAGCTTCGATTACGAGCTATATAAAGAATGAAGGGGGTTTCAATAGAATTTTCATTTTCACTTGTGATAATGGGAAGCGTATTATCGCGAGGCTACCTACTCGGGTATCAGGGCCATGTAGATTGACCACTAATTCGGAAGTGGCCGCCATCAAACATCGTGAGTCTGAATGTCCTTTCCAGGCAGCGCGTTACGGTTAACCCTCGTCTTCGTGCTAGTCCAGTCTAATACTACTATGCCAATACCAACGATCCTTGATTGGAGCGACGATTCCTCAAATGCCATTAGCAGCGAGTATATTATTATAGAATACGCGGTAGGCGTTCAGTTATATCAAAAGTGGCCAACGATATCCGGAGAGCAGCAAATTGCCTGTATCCAAGCTATCTCTACGAACATTCAGTAAATAGTAGCAATCAAGTTTCCAGAGTACAGAAGCCTGTATTTTGCCGACATCCCCTATCGACTCCGCTTCCAAGGTGCCATTAGCCCAAGGCTTTTGTGTTGGGCCTCATTGTGGAACTAGGTACTGGGATTACAATATCGGCGAAGCCAGATACTATACTTCGATAAAGCCTAACAGGGGCCGTGTGAGTTCTCGTTCTCCCTGCTGCCATGACAGGGCCGCTTACAGGTCTTCCCAGGGTCTGATCTCGCGGCATACTGCGACGGCCTTACCGATACTGGCCTTTCCAGACTTCCACCTGTCGACAAGGCCCTCCCCGAAAGTCTATGTTTTTATAGAACCGTTGTAATGTATACTCGCCTGCTTAGTTTCGGTTACGATATAATCTATAAGCTATCTAAGGATCCTAAAAGTTATTAAGGATTTAGTATATTAGTGCTTCGGGGGCGGCTGCGGGGGTAGCTTGAGGGAACTCCGCAGGCCAAAACATGTTTTTTGAGCTTTCCTAACCAAATTTTCAAAATTCGAACGGCGTTGGAAAGCATATGCTTGGTTCCAAAACTCATGAAATTATCTCGATATCATATGACGTATAAGAGATATCCCGGCTTAACGCCGACACCGGCCCAACGCCGAATTTTGTCAATATTATCAACAACACCTTTTTGCACATTAAGCAACAACCACATCAATTGATAAGCTACGAATTAAATCTATGGTAGATAGAAGGCATACATATAATATCTAACCCCAAGAACCTCAAACATCAAAGCGCTGCGGGCGGCAGATTTTTCTTCCACGATATGTAGCTGAAACAACTTCCTTAGCATGTACTAGGGCGACAGTATTATCAGACCTGTCTAGCTGTTTCCTGAGGTTTCCGGGAGCCTTGTGAGGGTATTTAGATACCCCTTTCTGGTTAGACTGCCCTTTCCCTGGTGTAATTGCCACCTTTTTTGGCTTGGCCCGGGCTTGCCTATCTAAAGCCTTTTTTGCCTTTGCTTCTGCAGTAGCTTGTCGTCGTTGTAGAGTAAGAAATACCCTCTATATCTTGTCCGCCTCTTTCTGTGCCTTCTTGATAGCTGCTGCGGCCTTCTTATCGGCGATCTCTTACTATCGTCGTGCCTTATTGATCTCCTTTTAGTCTTGGTAATCCCGTGTACGTTGGACTCGCCCAGGACTAAAGAATTGAGGCCTAGAGTTATCTTCGCCGAGTAAATTAAGACGCTGACCACGTTGCCTTTTCTTCTTTTCATTCTTCAATGCTTCAGCCAAGCCTTTCACTATATGATCGTCCACAGAGTGCTGGGATGCGAGCCGCTCATTCGCTCGAAAAACTTTGCTTAGCAGTGTAGAGTTTGGAGTAACGCGATACTGTCGTTGCATACGACGACCTGTACGGCATATCATTGGTGTCTGGGGGCCTTTAGAGCTGTTGATGACTTTGTCAGGTATAGGTTTCGTGATTTTCAATAAGATCAAGTCGGGATTGTAAGGCCAGATACCTGTTTTTCTGAAGCCAGAAGTAATGTTTTTTTCTGAGAAAGCTTCTTGCTATACAGGCCAAAAGACGCTCTAGAAGGCCCTCTTAGACATCGAAACCATACCTAGGCTACTCGTCATTAACGTGTTGAGGCCATTAGTATAATACCTGGCTAGCGGTGCAAAAAGTGAAACATCCAAAGGCTGTAGACGATGAGTCGAATGAGAAGGTAAAATCAATAAGAGGATTCGCATGCTGTCGCATAAATCGATGAATCGTAAGTTGACATGACTGGAATGGCCGTCGACGATCAGTAAACGACGTGCTCTTCCAGCTACCTGGCTTGTATAGCGCTGAAAAACAGCCTCTAACCAATGTAGACCAAGAGCATTACAGCTCCACCCGTTCGAAGAGACTGCGAAGTAAGCAGCAGCCTCAGGTGCCAAATCCTCTACCCAGGTATTCTGTAGAGTGCCCGAGTCACCTTTGTAAATAAGTGCTGGAGGTAAAGCGACTCCAGTAGCACTAATACAAGCGAGTAGGCTGATAAATTCTCTATTCCCATCCTGACTTGTATATAGAATTCGACCCGTTTCGAGAGCCTCATAAGACATAATGCGCTTAGTAGCACTAGCCTGACCGATCACGAAGCCTTTTTCGTCCCAGTTGTAGATATTTTCGGCAGTAATACTGTATTTTTCGATACCAGCAATGAGCTAAGAAATTCTTTATTAGTAACGCCTTAATATTAATAGTAAATTAAAAAAGTGAGTTACCAGGTCGTAAAACTGCTTAAACAGAGGGGGGTATTCCGCTTTCATTCGTTGATTATCGATATTACGAAGGTAGATGCTTGTAAGCCTTCCTTGATAGCGCTTGACAAAATCCCCAGTCCAATTTTTGCCTACAGGCCTCCCTATCATCTCTTCCGCGAAGTTCCGGACCATTCTGCTGGTTGGAGGCAGTCCACGATCAGTAAGTCGGTTGATATGACTGATCAGGGTCTCTTCTTGGATGAAAGTGAGGTTTTGGCGGTATTCTGAAGCTGCTGCTGCCTTGGAAAGATGTTTGCCCTGATATCGCCTGCGGAGCGTCGATTCGACCAGACCATACTTCTTGGCGGTACCTATGACATTGGGCTTCTCTTGACGATGCAGATCGTCCAGAGCGAGCTCTATACGAGCGTTGTGGGTGGAGCAGGCCATGGTTAAGAAGAAGAACGAGTTTGAGAAAAATTCGGCGTTGGGCCGGTGTCGGCGTTAAGCCGGGATATCTCTTATGGCGCGGGGCATTGCTGCAAAGAAATTGCGGTGCGCACCCGCAAAACATGGCGAAAACGCTTCTTTTGCTCATAAGTTTTGCGCAAATGGACCGATTTTAAAAAATTTGACGGTGCTGGAAAGCGCATGCTTGGTTCCAAAATTTGTGAAATTATCTCGATATCATATGACGTATGTGGCGCGGGGAAGTACTGCGAAGAAGTTGCGATGCGTATTCAACTTTTGGTGGTTGAAGGCGCTAGCCGAGAGAGGAAATGCAGCTCTAAAGGGACGTTCTAATTGGCTGCAAGTGCGGAATACTCTCCGAATTTCCTCATAATCTGTTATTAGAAGAAGATAGTTTCCCCGACTTAGGCCAATATATGACCTCCTGCTGACTTAGGCGTCACCGCTTTGCTTGCGCGCTAACGCCTGTTCCGTCCTTCTACTCCCTTGCTGCTCCCTCTAAAGCGGCAATGCTCCCTTTCCCGATCAAAGTAAATTCGGGGTGTTTTTGTGTCAAAATAATTTTTAGTAGGATATTTAATAGAATAATATCTCATACCATTGAAAACCTCGTGGCGCAGTGGTTAGCGCGCCGTTCTTATATCAAAATCTTCTGGATTTGGTATGATATCATCCCAGGTAATGCGGATGTCGCGAGTTCGAATCTCGCCGGGGTTAAGTTTTTTTGCCCTTGTAAAGAGGTATTTTTGGCGACCGGGCTTTGCTTGGCAAGCTAATTCCGGCTAGAAAGGGTGAGTGCTGCCGATCCTTATCTACTACCGCCCGGGTATTGTGACTCAAATTTACACGGGGTTTCGCCGGATGTGGCTTAGCGTGCCAAGCCTAGGAGCCATGAAATTTAATGAGTACGGAGGATGACACCAAAAGTCTTGAATCAGTAGCATACTAGTTAAGTCGTTTCTGTCCACTCCGCACTCAGTACCCTTAGTTTATTGTATTACGAACACAATACATAATATATTTTTTTGCAAGCTTTATAGCAACTCCAATAACTCCAACTTCTTCAACCAATAGCAACTATCTATTCAGACACTAATACTAGCAATCCGGCTCCCATTATGACTGCTATCAGGACTATAGCCTTGCTTCCGACCCTTATACCGCTGCTGACGCTCCGCAGGGATGTATAGACGAATATCAGACCATTCGCCTTCCTCCCTCCCTTCCCTATACTCGTTCCCACCGCGTAATTCTATAACTTTAGCAATATGACGTGGGAGGCGTTCAATCCACGATTGGATACGCTTCTGGCTGAGTTCTTTTTCCCAACAGCGCGTCCAGACCTTAGTAAGAATCGCCCTGGTCCGCGGGCAGCCTTTGCGAGTTGTCCGCCTCTTCATCCACCACCAACACGGTTCTATAGCATTTAGATCCGGGGAATTACCGCACCACATAAGGCGGAGGACGTTAGTGTCCAGGAATATCTAATCTTGGTACTTAGACGCATGCGAAGGAGCCTTATCCTCTTGGACAAGAGCCTCAGGGCCACATATTTTTGCAAATGGGATAAGCAGTTTCAGCAGAATAACCGTTTGATAGCGGTACCAATCGATACCTCCCTTCTTTGCGTTTCGGACGATTTTGCCATGCTTTTGGTCCCATTTCCAAGCAGGCTTAGTACTACCCATATTCTTCAGTCCCATTCTTTTTATTGCCGTCTCAAGTTCCTATTCAGCTTTAAGCTTTGGCTCCAAAATCTCATTCATAGCGTCTATATACGCCTTAGATTCTTTCTTTTCTGCTGCGGTCTCGTCCTTCTAGATATGGAACGGCCCTTTTCTATCGTATATGAAACAGCCCCAAAATATAAACTCCATAAAGCCTCCCCATCGCCGCCGCGTACACGTTACGTTATATTTTTCCCGCGAAGTTCTCTATATTCTAACTTTGCCACGGCGTTGTCCTAAGTAAACGGACGTCTTATCAGTCCAGATCACTTTTTTCCAATCTTCTATTGTCCAGTACTGGAAGCGTAAAGCAAATTGATAGCGGGCTTCCATTATAGCAGGTGTAAGGCCCGGTTTCTTTATGGTTTTAATATTGTTGAAGCCGTATCTACGCAGGGTTCGAAGCACTGAGGAAGAAGAGACTCCATTTTCGAATCCTAGTACTGTAGATGGCTTCTCTCTACTATTACGGTCTTTCTTTACTGAATTTATTAGCAAAGATACCTCTAGACGAGGAAAAGTATATACCAGCTGCTAGGATTTGAGCCTCTTTTGTAGGCGTTGAAATACGCGTTCTGCCAGAACGTCCTGCATCCGCCACATATTCTTCTTTTAAAATCGACGAGTCTGCAGGGTCAAATCCGCGTTCTCTAGCCTTCTTCCGTAGCCTTTTAACTGACGTTGCATTATATAGTCCAGCCTGTGTAGCTGCTATCTTCTCCTCTATACCGTATTCGGCTAGGGCGAGTGCTTGGAGTCGCTGCGCTATCGAATGATTGACTGAACGGCCATCTTTGGCGAGCGTCTTAAGGCTTGGGGTCTCTTCTGGGGCAGGGAGAGCTGCTGTAGGAGGCGAATAACGTATACGGCGTGGGCTTTCAATGATTAATGGCGCAATCGACTCATTCAGCTGCGCGACTGGACCGTGCCTGCGAGGATTTCTTCTTGGTGGAGCAATTGGCTGAGATTCAGGCCCAGCTGCTACACCGCGGCGGCGAGGAGCCATTGGTACAGTAACATCTATAGCCTACGGAATTCCCTATCTATATAGTACCTGATACGTATCCCTCTAAGCCCCCTGGCCCCCATTCCTGACCCCATTGGCGGTGTTATATCGATATTTAGCTGTAGATGCGGCAAAATTTTCGGTAGGGCTGAGGTCTGAGGCCTGCTTGGCGCCGTGGCATTCAGTACTAGCGCAATTCAAGACTTTTGGTGTCATCCTCCGTACTGTATATAGTGTTTCAAAATTGGCAGTCTGCAGATGCAACAAAGCTCACGAGATGTCGATGCGGCTCTGCATGACGGCTCTGCGGTGCCAAGCCGCTAGCGACTCGGCTATATTAGGACCTCATGATAGCTTCATCAATCAATCATCCTATGGTCCTGCAGGCCACCATCTAACCCTGCCTTCCTGCCTTCGTGCCTCATGTGACTATCGTAAATCCTTCACATTGCCAAGTCAGCCTCACAGCAGACCCCGGGCCGAGGCACTAAGACGAATTTGGAATGGTACAATACGGGATTGCCTAGGCTAGCTGTGGCCCAATATTGAGAGCTTGAATCAGGCCGAAAAGCAGGCCTATAGAGGCCATATTCACTAGGTATGCCTGATCGTGGGCCTGGCCACGGCCTTGCAGACAATGCCTGACTAGGCCTTTCATATAGCCTTTCAAGCCGGTGGTTGGGTTTGGAGCTATCGAAATCAGAGCCGAGCTACAGGATACCACAGGCCACATTTCTGCGCAAATGAAGAAATTGCGGATGGCTCCCTATACGCCTGCAACTCGGCAGGAGACTACTCGGCGCCAACCAATGAATAGGGTTGTCTGGAAGCCGGATCTCTACGGGAGTTGCTGGACCAGTCAGTGATGGTTTTCGAAGCACTTGGATGGCGTTCTTTCCTCCGACGCGTCAAGTTCATCCTCCAACGACGAACAAAGAGTCATCTTCGCTCATATCCTATCCTTCCTCAATCACAAAAATGCCAAATTGCGAGTCCTAGCACTTTCGGATAAGAACGCTGAGATCAGCAGGATAGTCCTTGATGGCGCGGACTTTAGCCACTTGATCCGTTCATTCACTGCTGGTTTATCTCTTATCTAATGGCCAGCCAGCTGTTTGGGACGCAGGTCGAAATTCAATCCACTCCGGCAGAGATATCTAGGTCCGCCACCCAAATTAGTGACCAGTCTTACGCACTGATAGTCCTTCCGAATGTTGTTTCGTCGGACCTTTACCTTCATGCGATGCTTCCGAACTTAAAAGATCTCCTAACGGACGATGGTTTCTTCGTGGCGGCAACCCCATCGAGCCAAACCTATGGCTTTGAGCAGAATGGGTTCAGCACTGTCCACAAGGATTTACCCGAGAGCCGCATCAGTTTGGGAAGGTCAATACCCAACTTGGAGACTTAGGAGAATCCCGCAATTATTGCAGAGCGTGACAACGCAGGCAGACCTGCCCAAACCCTGGCGGACAACTTACTCAACATACTCGATCTATCTACTGCGAACAGGGTCAAATTTAGTGAGATCTCGCAAGACAACATTCCACCTAGAGCCATAATCTACTCTACCTTGGAGGTAGAACACCCACTGGTATCATCGTTAGTAGAGGATGACATGGCACGGCTCAAGATACTTACGGATCGTGCCTCGAAAATCGCATGGGCCACCGGTGATGGCTTCTTGAGCGGGGCTCATCCTGACTTCGCCCTTGTTTCAGGCCTGGCCAGAGCACTTATGATTGAGCAGCTATCACTCGTATTCTGTACGCTTGATCTGGAGTAGATAGAATTGGAATCAAGTGGTACTGCACGGAATATATACTCTATTCTTCACCAACCTGGCACTGGTGCCGTACCGACGGACTACGAGGTCATCCAACGTGGCAGCTTGGTCCACATCAGCTGCTTCGTCCCAGACGAGGATCTCAGCTAATCATTTCGTCAAAGACAAGGGAATGAGACCATGTCAATGTCGCTTGCAGAGGCGAAGTTATGTCGCCTGAATATCGGAAGCCTTGGGCAATTCGATACGACAAACTTCAAGAAAGAACCACTGAAGCCTGAACCTGGCTTCGTCCAAGTCGAAGTCCAGGCCATATATCTGAATGCTAAGGGCTGTGCAGTGCCATCCGGCAAGCACGAAACACGAGACGGACCCTGCACTATTGAGCATTGTGGATCGTCACCCGTGTTGCGGACAATGTTGCGGATGTCGCCCCAGGTGATCGGATTGTCGTGATGGCTCCCGGCCACTTCAGAACTCACGAAATAGTACCCCAATGGGCATGCTGCAAGCTCTACGACGGGGAGAAATTCGCTATATGCTGCACGTTGCCGGCTGTTTTCTCAAATGCGCTCTACGCGTTGCAGCATCGCGCCCAAATTCAGCCAGGAGAAACGGTATTAATCCATTCGGGGAATACTGAAGTAGGGAATGCGGCTATCCAGATTGCCAAATTGGCTGGTGTTGAGGTAAGAGATCTCTTTCCTTTCGCGAGATTGCAGAGGTCTAGTGCTTTGCAAAGTCAAGCCAGGCTAGGACAGACAACCGCAAATGCCGCATAATGCCGTGATTTGGCCAACATGGTATCTGTGTACTATGGGTCCTAGCCTTACTTCCATGTCTGGCCATAGGACCAACGAGCACCAATCTTGTCATTGAGGGGGCTTCTTGAGCTATTCATAGGCCTGGCTTAGGCTCGTTGTCTTCCTACCCTGTGCTTGGCCTTGGTAACTATGAGCATTAAAGCTACCGTTCCATTGGCAACTTTGAGCCCTCGAGGTCGGTATGCCAGGGTTGTCAGCCTTGGGACGCTCCAGTCGCTCGGCAAGTCACCCAGTCTTTTGGGTCTTGAAAGGCGGCTTGACCCATATTGAGGCTACTTTTGGGCCTTCGATCCTGATTCACTTCCATCAATCTGCTATTTGTTTGCCTCGTTGCGTCATCTTCTAGGCATGTATTCTTATTACCAGCCGAAAAA